TTGACTAAAGAAGTTGGATGAGTTGCGAAAAGATGTGAACAGTACTAACACTAATGATCAGTTTGAATAGAACTCATTATTTTTTGCTACATAACTGTGTTACAAATATAAAATATAGTATAACATACTCGTACATACATAACTAGCCTGTATAAATTAGTACAAATGTCTTTAGAACAATATACGAGTAACTAAAAATTTCTAAAATTTCATTATAATTTTATGTATAAAATTCGGAAATTACACTTTATTCTTCTTCATAGAATACCATTTCTTCTACACGGTGACATTTGATATTTATTAAATAATAATCATATCACCAATAGAGCTCTTCAGCTTACGCGATTTGAACATTTTTTCTTCTCCGAGAATATGCTTGAAACATAATCACTGCCGGCTGGCGACAGGGGATGCCAAAAACTAAAGTGCTCTCCTTGGGTATGAGATCTGAAAATCCGTAACCGAGTTGCCAAGATAGTCATCCTCAACGCAGTTTACGTCTACCATTTTAATAGTAGTGTCATTCATATGTCTATTTCCATATCATACAATTATGATCAGAAGCGTTTTATCTGTTTATTTATAGATCTCCCATACATTAATTTAGTTTGCCATGATAATGTCGCCATCGTCAGCATTGTAAAAGCTTTCATATCAATTGAATCCATTAGCTGAGTACACAAATCCCGTCTGTATATTTGCTCATCAGTTTTTATCATTGGCGAGTCCATTTTTGTCCGATCGGTCACTTCCACGTTATTGATAGGGAGTTTCTTTTTCGCAAACATAGCTTACGATTTTTTTATCTGAAAGCTTTGAAGCATATGTGATATCCGTTGGTTGCTTAGACATATATTCTGTTATCAAATATATTATTTTTAATAAAATCTTATAATTATTATTGAAATAAAGAACCGAAATTTGGAAACGTTAACCTTATACAAATAAAATAAACTGTGCAGTGTAAAATGTTTCCAATACACCGTATTGCCGGCATGCCCTTTACAGAACTCCATAAACAAACCGTATCTACCCTCGCGCCATTTGTCCATTGACCAGCACTTAGCTTAACAAAAACTGATAGTTGTAAAATAAAGAAGAACAAAACAGTAACAAGAGCGGGCCATTTCGGTCAGAAATAAACTAAGCGGTAAGAATTAACAAGGATAAAGGCTTAAAAGAGTAGCCGCTGTAGATTTATGTCGCGATGATCGCAATCGACCCGATTCCCCTTGTAACGGCTGGTTTATTTTTTTCGAATCGTATGGAATGTCGAGGTGTGGCATTGAAAAGCAACGTTACAACTGCAGAATTAAAACACCATGCGTGTACGACGAAAATAATAATGACATGTCCAAGAAAACTGGTACTTAAGGAGACGAATGTTTTCAAAAGATAAGACTGTCAGTGATGTCATCATTCAAATATTCGAAGATAAGAAAACTTGAAAAGACTCGGAAAACGTCACACATCATAAGTTATCTGCGAAACTAAATCTTCAAAGTCACTTGAAAAGGTACAATATGACAGTCATTTCCCATTCATTGCTACTCTATTTACAGGAACGAATCGAAAGCTTTTTATGGGAAAGGCCTTTCACACAACCCTTTTCGCGGTTATCTGATAACGCAGTGAATGGGCGACACATTTGTCTGTCACCCACTGTGCACTAGTGTAAAAATTGTCAGCGAATGTTGCCAGATAGTGATCTGCCATTTCGAGGCACAGGGGGAAATTCCTATGTTTATTTAGTGGCTGAAACTAGCAACGCAACGCTTGTGCATGTGTTTATTCGTAATGAAAATCTCTGATAAAAATCTATAACGTATCCATGAAACGAATAAATCCTCTAGTATATTAACATTATAAAGTTATATCTAAAAGAGCAATGAAAATATAAGACTGGTGATCATGTGCAGAAAGAAGTCGATTTTTACATCGTTTTATAAAAATGACTAGAGTGGGTTGAATAAAATTCATACCTCCACATGTAACACCTATCAATTGAGCCGAAGCAAACCAAGCGAGTGATTGCTGTAATTTCTTTAAATAATTCAACGGTAAAGTTCACTCAAACACAACACAATTCGAAATAAAAAAATGTTTCATCAAAAAATAATTTTAATATCGTAATAACAAAATTACTGGTTACTTCTATATGCGAATTCCACTCTTAATCTCTTCAGTTTAGAGTGTTGTTTCTTCACGATTCTACTATATACGGAGGGGGGGAGAAATGGAACCTTTTGTTAGCCTATAGCGTTATTATTTCTCATTTTGTTTTGTTTATTAATACAATTGGCTTGAGGCGCAATATTGATATTCAAGTTTGATGATAACTTGGGTCTGGAGTTTTCTCCCCGGCTCATTTTTATTTTATACCTATATTTTTTGCGCTTACATATTTATATTGTTAGAATGTAAGGTCATTGTTTTTTTTAATTGAACTAACTGACTTTTCGCTGGCAACAGAGGTTGATATTTTTAATTATATTAAAAAGTAGTGGGCCGCCCCGGTTTTGCATGGGTCGCGAGGGAAAGATTTCTCTTCTTCTTCTTTTTTTTCTCTGTCACCATTAAGTAATGTCAGTGAATATATGTATTTTCAATATATCTGTAAATTCAATATTAATTACCAGACATCCCAATCACAGACAACCCATACCGGGTTGTGGACCAGAAAATTATTATTTTATCACGGCATATTCAGACGGAGCAATTGCAATAGTAAGCAAACTTGTAGGAATGTCTAAACTTCCATAGTGCACGAGCGAGATGTTCACTCATGGGGAAAACGGAATGACGTGTATAAATAACATTTCAGAAATATCAATTAAACAATTATGCTGTCCGAATGGAATCGTGTGTAATGATAGTGGGCCGGCCCATAACTCAGGCGCATCTGTTCTACGGCTATTTGCAAACGCACGACATGAGTACGTATAGCAAGTACATGTTGCGAGCAAGCGAACCTGTCTCCCATGAAGTATTTAAAGTAACTAAGCATTACTACTTACTAGCTTTCCGCCAGCGGCTTACAACATATAGGCTACTTTTTATTTTGATATATGTTAATCGAGGCTTAGAATGATCCGTATACCAAATTTCATGGAAACCCTTTCAGTCGTTTTTACGTGAAAGAATAAGAAACACATGACAAAGTTTTGTATTTTTAATATTTGTAGGATTGCCAGGATTTCCTTTATGTTATTAATCCAATTAAAAACTTATATGAAACATTAGAGCTTTAGATCAGAGCTATAACGTAATGACAAAAATTACTCCATAGCATCGAATGATAGAAGAAAATTTATTTACCCTCCAGCTACCAGCAAATTCTGATCATAAATAATTATAACAACAAAACTGCTATTCATAGTTAGTTTATAAATGTCAATAATTTTGCTTAATAACAAAATATAATGTGATGCAAATGTAACGTAAATCGTATCTAATGGTTGGATATGAACAAGCGTTTCTAACTTATATGCTAAGAGTAAGTGATCAAGGATATTAAGAGTAATTAATCTGTGTTACTTATACGTTTACCAAGAATCGATATCAAGTGAAATATCGATTATGATATTTACATTAATCGCGCTTTCCGCTCATAGTGTCGTACCTTTAATATATGATAATTTTCATATCATATGTAGTAGAGATGATGCTCTTATCTTCTTAGAATGTATTACAGTTTCCAGATTTTATCTATATCTATAGACTATTGAACTGTCCAGGCTTTGCACGCATATTAATTGCGGATGATATACATAAACTTTTCATAGGAAAAACTCCGACCATTGGTCGGAATAGTATGGAAATATCTAATACCTAGTTCTTGAATTTATTGCGTTCAAAGAAATAAAGGTAATAGAGACTTAATTTATATCATACAACATCAGCTTTCGGCCAGCGGCTTCGCGCCCATTATATTATACATTTAAACCATCCTCTTGAATTACACTGTATATTGATGAAAACCGCATTTTTTGTTTTATTCTATGTTTAGATATAGTTATGAGTCGTAGTTTAACATTAAACGTAGGTTAATACATTATTAGAGAATAGCTAGACTTTTTTACATCTCTGGAGTGTATAATAAAATAATCCACGAAAAGGAGCTATTTTCTATAATATTTTAGAACTTATTATTTAATTAGGTTAATTATAAATAGGCACTTTGTAAAATTATTAATCGTTATCGTATACCATCTACTATTATCTCGATTCTCGATCCTAAATATTGACTCCACGGTGCATTGGCTTAACAAGAAGAAAATATGGCCTCACAAATACGGTCATGAACAGTAAACCTGTCGTTCAGTTTGTAGTCAATATGTTACGACTTGTCTATAAGTTGTAACAAATATATGATATAAAACATTATGAGAGGTTATACATGCAAGAAAAGGATGTGGTTGGCAATTATTATTTAATATTACAATGTTTTTGGAAATAAATAGGTGTTCCTATAATGAAATCCTGTTTTAAATCAGCTTAAGAAACAAGTATCCATAAAGACACAGAACAAAATATTTTTGACATAGAAATAATCGGTGGAAATATTGGAAAAAATGAGACATTTAAGAGTTACTATTATATTTTTGACTAGTTGTTTTACCGTGACTTCGCCTACGTAAGTTATTGCCCATGTCACTCGCGTATGACGTAACTTCCTGTAGGTAAAAGATTTAAAAAAAACCTACCCAGTAGTGTCGGAGCGAATATTTCATACTATAAGAATCATGTATTTCTCTTTTATAACATAAGTATATAAAACTACGGGTAGTTTTATTAAGGGAAACCTACACGCTGCATTTTGAGGAAATATTTTTAACACATTTATTTGGATATTAACCAATTCAATATATAAATATTAACGTCAGTAACCCGGCTTCTACCCACCTCCATTTCGTTGCATTTAAAAGTGGAAATTCTTTAAAAAAAATAATTCTAGTATTTTTAAGTTTAGTTGCATAAAGACACGTGCATATACTGACCTTTTTCGTAGCTAATCTGTCTCTCCTGTTGTCTTGCATTATCGGCGGCGACCTTGAGCAGTCCTTGGATGTTCCGCAGTAAAGTCTCGGTGGAAGAGACCAGGGTGTCCGCGGTGGGGTCCACGGGCACAGAGGGGGGAGTGGATGTCGGTGCCGCGTAGCTCACCGGCGCTGGTGACGACGACACAGGCAGTTCGCGTTCACCATCACTTAGGTCAGCACCTGAATCCATAAAGAAGTATCTTCAATAAAATGAAGGCTGGATAGCTTATAATATAAAGAAGTATCAATAAAACTTTATAAGCTTTCTTTAATATTAGCTAACCTACAAACTTTGTAATATATTGCAATCAATAAATGCAGTGTTAAAGAGAAAATACGACGAAATCGACGTACCAGTTAATGAGATAGATAAGGACAGAGAATGGCGTATTACGGGTAAATATTATTTTTACATTAATTTTATATTATTATTAGTCACTAGCTTTCAGGTCCCTGGGGAACTGTTTATTTGGATACGCACTCATATCATGATACGGATAGAAGTAAACAATGTTTGCTATGGTACGAGTAACATTTTATTTCCCTATACAGACTTCTAATCCCATTTTCATTCCTTTATTTGCTGTTCGGGATAAAACATGAAGCCTATGTTCACCGCATATGGTGTAGCTTCCCGTAAGTAAAAGAATTTTAAAATCGGTAATCGTAGTTCCAGAGCTTATTCGTTGCAAACAAACAGTCAAAAAAACAATCAAATCTTCCACTTTATAATATTAGGTATAAACAGGCATTAATAACCTCAATTTACATGACCAAACCTTTATGGATGGATTGTATTCATAAAATTCTATTAAATAAAAAAAATCATAAGTGGCTCAGGCACGGTTGACTACACAAATAAATTATAAATGTATCTTTGTTATAAATCATCAATGCCATGGCACTAACAGCTTCATAAGAAGCCCTATAAGGTATGTTTAAAGTATGTATAAGACCAAAAAGTTCCATAAGCACAAAGAACGATATTCGAGAATCACGTGCATTTATCATTCGTACATATCGCAATTATTATTTCACCGAACATCGATATCGCGTGGCGACCATGGTGAAAGGCTTTGATGGACTTAAACCAATAGCAATTACTGTTAATTCAAATAATATGAAATAATTCTGATGAGATTTATTATTTAAGCAACATATATCACTCAAAAACTTAGCCATTAAGTAATTTAGAATTAAATAATAACTCATAATTATCTGAACGTCTTTTTGTATATCTGCAATTTTTGATGGAATAACTAAATATGATCCACGGAGTTATTTTCTCTGTTATTTTATATATTCTATCATTATACAATGTGAAAACACACTAGCAACTTAAGAAACCCGTTAAATATCTTTAAACAGACATTTAAGTACAACGACAAGCAATTGGAATAAGGGCTCTCTAGTCATTCGACACAGAATGGGCTGTCTCTAACCAATTTATATGGCTCGCTGCACTAGTCCTCAAGTTATTCCTTTTGCATACGGCTCGGCCCAACTACACTACATTGCCTCACATCGATTATTTTATAATTACCTAGTTGGCATTCCGCAGAAAGTCATTTAGGCGGTAAATCAAGACAATGATACATAAAAGCACTTAATTTTAATCACCACTAAATATTTACGGTTACTTTTAAATGGGAAAAACTCAATGAGAAAATTAATATTTTCAAAACTGACGAGATAATTACAATAATGTACACGCTATGTCAATAACGGACCTTACACGTAAAAAAGAAAGTGATTCGATTGGCGTCTCTCACGGCCCAATATAATATATCGATACATTTAATTTAGCTGACAAGAAGTGAGCGCTCATCAAATAATGAAGACAACATCGTTTCGTCATTGTCGATGCTCACGATACCACTCTCGGGTTGTCACAACACCATCTTCCTAATAAGGCCAATTAACAGGATATATCTCCGTTGGATCAGACGAACTCGAACTCTATTATCACCTACAAAGGATATATAATATGTGTAGTGAATGGTTTAGATATGAAATTAAGTCATTTCAAAATTGAGAACGATGATTGAAAGAAAAAGGTAATTCAGATGGACAAAGATCAAAGTTGAATGATACAATCGATCCATCGTGAAAAAACATTAAGAGCAAACGTGACACACGTAAATTACACACCGGCAGAATTAATTGTAGGATCCTCAATGATGTTTATGAAATGTTATAAGCGTGTTCGTTTACTAATGCATTTATTTTATATCGATTTCGTCATCAGCAGATCACACTCATTGTTTGCGCAAACTACCCGGAGTTCATCCCGTAAAATCGTGGCCAACTGAACATTTTCTATAATAGTCCGGCAGGCATCCGTTCTCACGCTCTCAAGAGTATTTTGTGTGTAACCTGCAATAACCACAATATACAATCCTTATTGTTTCACTCAATTTAGCTATTGTATGGCCTCGCGTATTTACATTTCTGGATCTTTGTTTTGATTTACGTCCTCAACTAGCCAACTACTTAAGCGAACTAATAATCGACTAACTATTCACACGAAAGCATATAGTCAATGAATGTTTTTATTTACCTCATTAAGCTTATTTATGGTATTTTTACTTGAATCTGTCAGTTATAATAAAATTCTTAAGAATTGTAAAGAAACAGTTTCTCAGTTTCTAGTATTTCTTAAATACGTTAAGAAATTAAAAGAAGAAATTTAAAATTAGTCTAGAATATAATTGTATGATCTTTACATAAAACATTTATCAACATTTAAAAGATATCGATGTCGGTGTTATAACGAGTTCTCATTTGATTGATCAGCAGACGAAGACAGCACTAAATATTTAATACGGCAATAGATTCAATGAATAAAAAGCTTCATATAAAATGTGACTATATTGCTGTAGAAATTGTCAAGCGATCCATCATTTTATTAATAGTCTTAATAGGTTCACGATCCATTCATTTGTGTTTTTAGCTTGATATTCATCGCTTCCCTTTGATTTTATAAGTACACTGAAACTATTACGTTTAATTAAAATAAGTTAAAAGCACTTTGTTCTTTCTGGACTCACGTGCAAAATTGAATTGGGTCCTTTTAAACGCTATTCATACATCATTGAGGGCAATTGCGGACGATACTGGTAATAAGATTTTATTATATAGGACCATTATAGGTAAACGTGCGGAGTCGAAGGATCAAGAAAGATGGCATGGCAACGCATAGTCATTTACCAATGATCCTTCGTCGACCGCACTCTTACGTACCTACTATTCGGTTTAGTACGTTCTTAGACGCCACAAAACCATGCTCCGTTTACTTTCCTATCGTGTATCTTTGTTTATATGACAGGAATTGAATATTTATCCGCAATTTGTTGTAAAATAATTAACATAAGGTAGATGTCGACTTACAGTGTATGGAAGAGTAGCTATTTTACACTTATTATAATAAGTGTTTCCAGTTTCTAGAATAAAAGGAACGCGGCTTTATGGCTGATAATTTCCGAACTATGAATGCTGAAGGTTCCAGGGCTATTACTGGGTAATTTTGCCGTGCATTACATGGCAGTATATTGAACCGGTGGTATCACTAGCCTGTGTTAATGGTACACGGACACTTTCCTGTCATGCTCGACCGTGATTGCCTCCGATGAAGGGACGACTAAAAATTAACTACAGGACACATGCGAAACTGATAATAGAATATCCTATTTAATCTATTAGCGATTGGAATCGGTAATTGTAAACTGATATACTTTTATGTAACCTTTTCTCATGTTTACAATTATAAACATTGATTAAAAAAATATATTAATAGAAGGAAGAGTTTATGTGGAAATAAAGAAACACTTTTTATGACAATAAACTCACCTTCATCTTCGTCTTTAACATTATGGTCTTCTTGATCAGACAGTGCTGCGTCACTATCATCGCTATGCGTTCTAGGCGACGCAGCTGCTGTAGCTGCAGAAGGCATGCGTGGCGGCTGCGGGGTGCGTCGAGAGGCAGCTGAGCTCCTCCCGCTTGCTGAGCCCTCGCCTCGGTCGCCACGGTCTTGATCTCTCCGGTCGGGTCGGTCTCGTTCACCACCAGAACCTGACTTCGATAGGTTAAGGACTGGACTGTGGCCGGGGGATGATCCTACAACAATATTTTCAGTAAGAGTATGGTTAAGATGTGATAGGTGATCGATTGGACTAGTACAACTGTAGCGCCTCTAACTTTGTGTCAATGATTTCATGTCGAACGTCATGATTTTGCATAAGAAATATTTATAATTATCCAAAAATTTATCTTACGAAAAGTATTATTATTATTATATGCTGCTAGTATTCTATTGTTTTTAATCTACATTTCTGCAGATTTACTAAGGTGATATAAATTAGCGCGGGAGTCATACTTGTATGGTAGACCAAACGTTAATATTTAGATCTTCTCCGTGTATGCGTGATATCCTGTGCTCCGGAAAGCATGTATACCGTTAACTTTAGTATGCAGCCTTTAACTTCCAACTAACCTGCACTGATACCGCGCGATGGGGCCCATATATCATATGTGATTCTTACTATTAGGTGAAAATCTATATCGCAACAACGAAGATATTAAAAGACTGAACATAAAAAACAAGCTAAAACAAGCTAAATAAAAAAATACATTATGTGATTATTATTTTTTGTGGATTTTGTGTTTGAATATTTAAAAAGATCTAACCGTTATGTGATCCCTCGCGCGCCTTATCCATCGCCATAACTCGTTCCATGTCACCTCTTTCGTCGCGCAATCTGCAACAATTCGATTATATCAATCACAACAATCCAACAGAAATCACCTGTCAGTCAATATGTAGTTAGAGCTTACAAATGCCCAAAATCAGTCACGCCACCTTAAAACCGAACAAAGCTACTGACGTACAGTTTTATCATTTGAAACCATAAAGCATGCTTCCTACTGTGATATGGTGCTACTACAAAGGCAAAAGTATAATATTATAGATCCCCGCTGGGTTCTTTTGTGAACGGATGAAGACGGCGCATGTAATCATTTTGTGTGCCAATCTTTGGTACCCTAATTCTGTAGGTTCTTTTTGATTGTAATATATTGGACTTTTGATGCTTCCGTTTGTATTCGTTTTTATTAATATTTGCTTATTAACTTTTTCTTTAATATAAATGTTCTTTCGAAAGATTATCTTTGTTGAATATCTTGGATTGTTTGAATATAACTTTTTTACTACTGATGTATTGTGTTTTGTATTAAATTGGATGCGATAGAAAGTTCGTTAGTCACGTTAAGTTTTTACAAGACATATTTTAATGAATCCGCTTTTATATAAAAATACAATTAATCTCTCTAAGTGCTTTTTTTTATATTGACATAATACATTGACTTTGACTTTAGTACTCGTAACTGAAATATCAAAATGTATTAAATTTATGCATTTCACGTACAAGTTTGGGCGAGGAGCTTTTTCCTTTTTATTGAAATGTAACAAAATTCAGACCAATTTTGCCAACTACTCGAGTATAAAAATTAAGGATGAATTCGTTAAGGGAACCAATTTGGTTTATTTCAAAAGGGGTTATAATGTTACAATTTTTGCTCAGTAATGCCTTTCGAGCATTTGAATATAAATGACGTCTGAAAGTGAAATGTAACATACATAATAAGTGGCTGTTTTAAGCTTTTGCGTAACCCTTTTGTGAATTACAGAGTAACTGTGATTTAGAGACTACGTTTCTTACAATGCAACATAATTCAGCTGTGTTATTATAAAAAGTCACATTTGGCATCTATCAAACCGAACTTGATAGTGCGGTGACTTTCTTAAAATTTTCCATTAATTAAACGAGACGATATGGTTTTCAAGATATTGTGCAAAATAATATAAATTTTATGTATATCATCAAGATATAATAACTTCGTGAGATTGAATATGAAATTATATATTGTATCGACATTGTAAAAAGAACGACAGAAGAAAATCACAGATAATAAACGAATAAGTCACAAATTAGTTGTTATTACTAAGCGTAATGCAAAAACCTAAAATACAAAATACCTTTGTATTTCATTGCTCACGGCAAATAAATAGGGATAGAGGATATTGAATTGCGCGTTAAAAACTATTTAATGAATTACCCACAAACTTCATATTACGACTATTGTTAACTGCTGCATGATTCCATCGGCTACAAACTGATTTAGGTGCCTATAATTTTTGCCTATAAAAATAATTGTAATATAAAATGTAGTAAATTAAGAATTTTAGGGGTAACCTTGTTATTTTGTTCTTTACTAACAAAAAAATTGCAATTGTATCATTGTCGTAATTTTGGTAAAAACATACGTTTACTACATGACAAGATTACTTTGAAGTTGACACTGAGATCTGTGTCAAATGTGTCTTATTATAATGAACCGTAGTACTTATTATAATATCTTAAAATGTGATCTTATACTGGATTAAATGGTGCATTGGTCATATTGTATGGTCGTTTGAGAAACACCTATAAACCTACAAACTGTAAAGTCAATATAAAGAAGATATTAATAATTAATGAAAAAAGGTAATAAAATACATATAAGTATCATTTTGAAAAATGCTATCAATATAGCATTGCGAATGCAAAATTGTTCAACTATGATACCTAGAAGTATTAAATTTGTCTCTGAGTATGACAGAAAGATACACGTTTTAACGTAGTCTCTATTTGCGTATTACTCTGTACGGACCCTCGCCATAGAGTCGTTTCGTCTTTACTGACGAGTCACGGGCTCGGTTTGAATTTAATATATTTTTCATTTCCGCACCCATTAATATGTAAATAATCCGTACCCTTGAAATCTTTTGATCGTGTGAATCTAGTAACTTAAACTTTTTTCGTTTATTTCTTTTACGTTTGTCATCTACAAACGTAATATAAGTACTCGTACTATAATATACTTTTGCACTAACTTTATTTAATAAAGAACATTTGATGTATATAATATAAAAAAAATATTAATATAGGTATAAAAAAAAATATATATTTTTTAATTTGAATGTCAACTATAGATCATTTTTGACGTATTGAACATGAAAAATCTATACTAATATTATAAAGAGGAAAGATTTGTATGTTTGTTTGCATAAAATACGTTCGGTATACGTTCAGAAGCTATATCATACGCGGATGATACGGCGACTATAACTTACGTGAACTAAGTCCCGGGAAACAGCTAGTATTAAATAAACATTCACAACGAAGTTCTTATAACTACGTTATATTATTAATTAACATATATCGTATGAATTATTGAAGTTATTTTATAATTTAAAAAAAATATAAGTAATATAACTCTTATACTAATTCAAATTGGTCATCATTGATCGAAAAGGTAAAGCAAATCAATGAAATAATAAATTATTACAACTTCCTTCGATGCTTTTTATCTTCATAAGTGTTACCATGATTGATGATCTTTCAAATACGATATGAGAATAAAATACGGCTATGTGATAATTGGTTTCGAAACTGAGACGGGACGTCTAAACTTACAAGTTTAGATTTCTATTGTTATTGTAAACAAAATATATGTTTCTTATATTAAATGCTTATTTTCTTATTAAACAATTAAATTATTAATACACAATACGTGAATATGAATAATTCAAATAGGTAACGTACTTAATAATAATTAAACGATTTGCAGTAAACAATTAATAAACAAGAAAACACTGAAAATCGTTTAATTTATTCAGATACATAAGACTATTTATTTATAAGAATATCTTATCAGTAATATTTTAGCTACATTAATTGCATATAAATTTAAGAATTTCACTATTAACACGATTTCGAACAGTTATATTTAACTTAAAGCAATTAATTAACTTTTTATATGTCTTATCATAGCGCTTAATAGAATTGGTAAAAAAACATAAAATCTCTATTGAATGTTAAAATAAAGTTCCTTATTAAAATACTATGATGTCCCTTATACAAGTTACATGTACTGGAAAAGATCTAAAGTGGTATACCACATAATAGCAGCGATAACAACAGATTAAGTCTGAGCACACGCAAAACCATCGCGTAACGCGTATGAACTGCGACGTAGTTAACGTTAACTATTGCCATTACAGAATGGCCACTGGCCTAAACAGATATTCCGGGGCCACGAGCGCGGACAATGGTCGCAATCTACCACCAAAGCCAATGTACGCTGATTAGTTAATACCGAAACGCTCACATAAACTAATAGTGCATCATCGGATGTCCAGACTCGTTCTAGTATGCATAATGACCAACCCAAGTTTAATAAAGCTAATACCATCACAGATTAGACCGTTTGAAAGAAATTTATTAGTTAAACACACTTCCTATTTGTATTCAACAGAATCGATTAAGAAAATCAAATCCTGTCTGAGCGTCACTGCGTAAAACATTTGCTTGACACCCAAATCAAAAATCGTTTTAGCTCACCCTCTGAGGGTAGGGAGTCGGGAAGCGTCGACGCCTCAACATTTATTATTTCAGACATATCACTCACATGCAAAACAAACTCCGTCCGATCCATCAAAAAGTTTCCTCTTACCCCCTCCTGCCCTCCCCTATAACACAAATCGAGTGTGTAAGTATCGCGGTTTGAGGAAATGGGGTCATTGGTCTATGGTTTACTGAAGAATTCGAGTTTAATCAGTTATCTGTTATGCTGTTCACGAATTCGTGACTAATTATGAATGTGGTAACTGTAATTTTGCAATATAATAAAGACATGATTTTGTTTACTTATAAAACTAAAATAAATAATTTACGTCTCTGAGACAAACATAAAACTGAATTTAAAGAACCACCATTACATGAAGATAAGTACGCCAAAAAAAAATGAGTGTAATTAATGTTCCAAAGCTATCGAAAGCAAGAAAAGATCGTACGTATGAAATGCCTCTAATACATATGCAACCAATATTTCTTATACAATGTAATATTAGATGAATAGAAGAAAGCGATTCAGAAATCAAAACATGAGAAATATACAGTTAATCTCAATAATAAACCAGCTTGCTCATCCAAAAGAAACGAACATTGTAACCCCCGAATAGTCAACAAAGCTTCGAAGAAAATCGAGCGAAAAAAGGCTAAAAACACCTTAGGGGTTTACTAATCGAATAAAAAATATCAGCGGCCGATGCCAATGTGTAGGGGAGGAATGGAATAAATTATAAAGAAAATACAAGTAGCAGAGGGGTTGTTGTTATGAGTAAAAAGTTTCAAACATATGCAGATAAAGCAATGTTTCGCCTTTGAAATAATCCGAAGCAATACCGCAGTGTAATAATGCGCCGGATACCATTTGTGGAAGATTTCATTGAAGATGAAGGATCATCGGCAAGACAAACTACATATCTCACATTTAGATTGGTTGGTTGATTCCAGTTTTCTTTGGTAGGTATTGGTTGTCATTGGTTTATTGACCAATCAAATCCATGGAAAATTGCTTACACAATTTGCAGCTGAACCATGTCGACAAATGTAAATGAATTATTAAGATGGAATGTCAGAATTTCATTAGTAACGGTTAATAAATGGCGCTATTGACCTTTTTTAAAGTTCTAAGTTTTTAATTTTTAGTGACATGTTTTACATTTAGTTCCCTAATTTTATTAGTTTGTTGATTTAGTTTAATTTTGAATTTTAAAAATATCATTTATTTATATTAAAAATTGATTATATTTTATCATTCAGAAAAGTAAAGAAAATAGCAACAAATAATAAAACTGTGATGTTACATGTTCCAC